ATAGATATATATTAAATTAATATATTATTTTTACTTTTTAGAAACAATTAAAAGTAGATGATCAAATAAAAAAAGTTATGCTATATAAAAAACCTAAGCAACATGAATTAAGGAATGCTTTGGCTGATTGGCTAATAACAGATTTTCAACCTTTTAATTTAGCAAATAGAAAAGGATTTTTACGTATGATTAATAAGCTTGATTTTGCATTTAAGCTACCATGTTATGTAATGATCAAAAAAGATATTGGTTATGGATATCAAGCTGCATTTCAGGCTATAAAGGAAATGATTACTCATACCTGTGATACAGCAGCTATAACTACAGATCTTTGAATATCTCATACAAAATCAGGTTATATCAGAATTACATGTCATTGGCTTACAGAAAATATGGAATTATATGATATATTAATTTGTGTTGCACTAATTAATTATCCTCATAATGGCAATAATATCCGCTAAACTATTTTAACTAAACTTTAACTGCTTGAATTAGATAGTAAAGTAAATGTAGCAATTACTGACAATAGTAGTAACATGATTAAAGCTATTCATGAATAGGATAGTGTTAATCATATTCTATGCAGTGCATATACATTGCAACTTTGTGTTATTAAAGGGTTAGAAAAAATTAAACTATATACCAAATAATTTAAGGAATTAATTCGATTTTTTAATTCTCCAAAACAAAATGAATGATTAGAAGAGATTCAGAAAGAAATTGCATCTAGATATAATATACAACTAGAAAATGATTCAATTTTATTTGATTTAACATCAATTGATCAACATCCATTAAAAATTTTACGAACTATTAATGATGTTAAGACTCAATGGGGATCATCTTTAGCTTCTTGAAAAAGATTAAAGTATTAAAAGATCTTATTAAATGAGTTCTTTTAAATTTATGTCTAAAGAATGAATTTAAAAAAGATTATGAAAAATTAAGAACGCGAATTCTTTTAGATTATGAAGGGATTTTATTAAAAAAATTAATTGTTCTTTTTAAACCAATTGAAGAAGCAACAGAATGGTTAGGTGATTAAAAATATTGTACACTTTCTTTAATATATCTATCTATTTATGCATTATATTATAATTATATACTAGATATAGATGATAATATTATTAATGAAAGTGATAAGTATAATATTTAAATAATTAAAAATAATTAAATTATATTTATTAATATTTAAATTCTTTTTTTTTAGATAATGATAATATTACTATAGATGAGGATTCTGAAGATAATGAAAGTGTGCTTGATGATAAAGAAAGTGATGACGATAATGATGAGAAACAAATAATACACAAATATCTTTATCAGAAATTAATAATATTATTAATTCTGTCAAAAAAGCAATATATGATATGCTATTTGAATATTTAATTTATCATCTAAAATTGCTGTACTTGCTAGCCTTTTAGATTCAAGATTTAAAAAAATATATAGATGGCCTAAAGAAGTACGTAAAATGGCAATATTTTCATTAAAAAGAGAATATCATTTATTAAAAAATGAAGAAACTGTTATGTCTCAAATAAATTCAAGAAATAATTATCCAACGGGCAGGTTTAAATCGCATTTATTTAGATCATATAAAATAGATGAAAAAGATGATGAAATCAATTGCTATTTGGATAATTTTAGAACTTCACAAGTTATACCTGAAATGAATCCATTTTAATGGTAGATTTATAATAAAAAGAAATTTTCAACTTTATTTAAAATAGCTAGAAAATATTTGAGTATACCAGCCACATCTGTTCCAAGTGAGCAGCTTTTTAGTGATGCTGAAAATCAAATTACCAAAGATCAGACCAGTTTAAAACCAGAGACTGTTAATGAATTATTATTTGTAAAACAAAATAGTAAATATTATAATCCTTTTGTATAATTGTATATTGGCAAATTAAAAAGATTTTAGTAGTTATTATAATATTTGTAATTAATAAAAATTAGCTTATTGTAATTTTTTGATGCTTATATTAATATTAATAAATCAATCAATAATCGAGCAATTAAAATTTGATTTTTAGTTTATTCTTTGATTGAACAATGCAATTGATTAAGAAATTGATCACACATGATTAATTAAATAAATCGATTTTTAATCAATCAAGTAAGTAAGAAATCGACCAAATCATTGATTATGATTTTTTTATCAATTAAATGCCCTACTTTTAATTAGTTTATCTACAAATTTGTAGGCAATTTATTTATTAATTATAATTATTTTTAATTATTTTTAAATATTTTAATATACAGTCAACTCTTGATATAGCGAACTCTTGATATAACGAAATTTTAAACAAATATAATAAAAATACTCTTGTTATAGCGAATTGGCCAATCAAATCTCTTAAAATCTTCATTATAGCCTTATAGTGAAGTTGAGATCTAAGACATAGAATTCGTTATAACAAGAGTTGACTGTATTATTAAAAAAAATTAATAATATTATAATAAATTTTACAATATTTTCTAAGTAAAAATTAAAATAAAATATAATTAACTAGTGATTTTTCAAAGATAAATAATTAACTATTATAAAAAAGATTAAAATTTTTAAACTTATATATCTTGTTATTCATTAATCTCAAAAATATAAAAATACTACTATTTAATAGGTCTTAATATGATGAATTCAATAAATTAAATTTTATATTTTTTGCAATTATTTTTTTAAAGACATAATAATATTCATATTTATTATGAAAATTCAAATCCAGTAGGTTAATACATAGATATCCCAAAAATCAGGTATAAAAGTAGAAAAAATAAATTGAACTGTCTAAAATATTTTTACAAGTTAAAAACTTACTAGCCTTAAACTAATTGATCATTCTGTTATACTTCAAAGACAATCATTAATAGAATCTCTATTAATATATAATAACTAGATTATTATTACACTCCTCTTTTTACCTAATAATAATTCCTATCTTAAATTTAAATTCAATACAAAACAAGTAACTTGAACTATTGTTAAATCAAAAAAAAATTAATAAAAAAAAACTGACTTCAACAAGTTCTTAATTAAGTTACCTGGTTAATTTTTTATTACAGTGATATTCTGATACAGAAGCACCTATATCACTAAGGTCTGTCAAAGACAGTGATAGCAAATGATAATGTTAATTAGCTAATTTTAAATGATTCCAAATGATATCAAAATGACATAAGAATTTGTATCATTTAAAAAATATGTTATTTACAAATGACAAATAACGAAATGACATGTGTCATTTTTAAATGATAATATCATTGTTATTTGATAATCTATTTTGTAATACAAATATTTTTTTAACAGTTAATTTTTAGGAGTTTATATCCAAAAATACTTAATAAACATATTTATTTATTTAATTTAGAAAAAAAAAATTAAGTGATAATATTTTATTTTATGCATTTTATACAAGATAAATCTAAAGATTTTAATAATATCTTTTTCATGTTTTTGTGTTCCAATTTTTTTGTTACACTTTTAATTTTCTCAGTTCTCACTATATATATAAGTTAATAAATTAAAATGGGTAAAGAAAAACATAATTTTTGAAAATTTTTTTATTTGTATACGCTGAATAACCCTAAAGCTAATAAAAAAGCAGTATGCTTTTCTTGTATAAGAAAATATATTCTAACTACTGCTATTATTAAACCCAAATATTTTATACTTAATAAAGTAATATTATATTGTAACCACTTAAAAAAATGTGAAAACTTTGCTTTTGAATATAATGAGAATAAAAAACAAGAGATTTTATCTTGTAAAATGCCTGAAGATGAGAAAAAGAATAAAGAAAAACAAACAGTAACAAATTTGAATATAGAAGAAAAGAATATGAAAAGTAGTGCTGAAACTAGTGACATGTCTAGTATTATCACTAAGCAACAAAATTTATCGAGATTTGTGTCTTTGCTAAAGTCTAAGAAGAATATTTCTCATTTTGAAAATCTGATACTATTAATGATGATGTCAAATAGATTATCATTCATTTTTTTAAAAAATAAAGAAACAAAAGATATTTTTAGATATATCATATTTATATTAAAACTTCTGAGATGTAAGAGTATCAGCGATCGCGTTCTTTCAAAATTAGTAAATCAATTAACTGAATTAATTGTAGTGCAGATAAAAGCTGATGTAATTGGTATTACTGCAGCTTTGACAGCTAGACTAATATTAAACAAAAACATCTTTTGGAGTTATTTTTATTACATCATCTGAATTGATTACTAGGAAAATCAGGTTCTGAGAATTTTTAGCAAAATTAAGATTTTTATTGTATTTTAGTTTTTGATGTTAAAATGTATTAAGCTCTTAATTTTAATCAAAAATTTCTCAGAATCTGATTTTTTTAGAAATACTCCCATCTGATAAAACTTTAATTTGAGAGGCTAAAAATATTAGTGATCAATAATCTAAAACTGAAGATGTTAAAGTATTAATTAAAAGTTTAATGAATAATGCTAAATCAAAACAGATTAAAATCAATTATTTTATTTATGACTTTACCAAAGAGTATACAGCAGCAAGGTAAATGAATTATTTTTTTATTTTATATATAATATATGCATTTTTTTTAATATTAAAATATTAATAACATTGTTATTTTCTGCTTTTTTAGGTATCAATTAAGAATAAAATACCCAAATAAAATATTTTTATCTTGTATGGTCCATCAGATAAATTTAATTACAAGAAATATTTTTAAAGAATCACTTCAATATTGAAAAATATCAAAAGATGCAATTCATATTATTAGTTATTTACATATTTTACAGGATTATTAAGAAATGAGCAAATATCATGTTATGAACAAACAATAGCACTAATAACTTCAAGAGAAACAGGCTGGAATAGTTATTACTTTTATTTTCATAGTATCTTGAAAACAGAAGCTGCTTTAAAAGTAAATAAAAATTAAAAATATCAAATATTAAATTGTAATAATTACACGACATATAATTATTGATCAGGTAATTACAAAACCACAAATAAACATTTTTCTTATTTGACTTTGTAAATTTTTAATATTTTAAGCTTTAATTACAAAATATTCACCTGAATACATTAGAACTCCAAGTACTATAGAACTAACATAAACAATAATGAAAATAACTATAAAAATCTTTTATCAGATATAATTAAAATCATTAGCAATGTAAAATTTTAGATTCAATTATATAAGCTTCAAAATTTATTGCTACTATTATATAATGTATTAAATAAACTGCAAAAAGATATTATATGCCTGTATGAAATTGTATTCTGTTTTGATTGGATATTTAAAATATTTTCATCATATGAAAATGAAGAATTTGATAA